TCTCATAGGATTCGTGATAATAGTAACTATCCTTTATTGAATGTTAACTATGTATTAGACATTGAGCTAAGTCCTGACTGTGCTTTAATCCATTTAATTATTGACATCAGCCTATGGAAGTATTATTATTGATCCCATTTCAAGATAAATGAGGCCAATTGTAAAATTTTCAGCATGCACCTAGTTTATTTTTAAGTTTCTCTTTTTAAAATATATATTTATTCAGCCCAACAGTGGGAGGTGTTCATAATACAATCCTAATAAGAGCCTTCCAGAAGTTTCTAAGGAGGTAATGTTTCACCTGAAGCCTGAATGAGGAGAAGGAGCCACCCTTGAGAAGAGCTTGGGGTTTCTGGCAAGGAGAGCAGTGAAGGCAGGCTTCATGAGGCAGGAAAGGGCTTGGGTGTGGTGGAAGTGGAGGGGTTGATGGGGACTGAGGGACAGGAGTGAAGTCCAGGAGGAATAAATAAAACATGTCTGAAGCAGAGTCTTCTCCCCTGAGAAGATTTCTTTGCTTGTCTTCTGCTGGAGGGTGAGCAGATCCTTTTGAATGGCTGCAAATGATGTTTGGCCCCATGGGTAGGTCTAGTCTGGGCTCTTCCAGGTGAGGTTGTAGATTTGCAGGTGAGATTCAGGTGTGGTGAGACTGATGCCCTCACAGTGCAGAGCGAAGCCTCAAACCCAGGCCCTGGGCCTTCCTCCTCAGGATAGTGCCGTGGCTGAGAGCACAGGCTGACACCGTGAGTTCCCTTTCCAAGTGGTCGGCAGTAGCTGGGCACCATCTAGTTCTTCTGGTCTCATGGTTTCTATATAGGCTGAGGTTCACATGGCACACTAGTCCCTTGGACTGATTGTTTCCATTTCTCTTTGGTTTTCTTCATTCTTCTTTGCTCTGGACGAGGAGAGACCAATTGTTACATCTTAGATGGCTGCTTGCAAGCTTTTAAGACCCCAATCACTACTCACCAAAGTAGGATGTAGAACAATGTTTTTGTGTGGTATGTTATGCCAGTTGAGCTTGATATCCTCCATGACCATGGTCCTGAGCCCACGGGCCCAAACAACTCACTCCCTCAGGGTGGTTGGCTGTGGCTAAGAAGTTACCATAACTTTGCCCCTTGTTAGCTTTATTACATATATGGACATTCTTATAGCACATACAAACACGTATGTAGAAATATCATCTGCCGACTTTATAAATGATAGTAAGTATATTCCCCTTTGCCTAGATATACCTGATCTTTCAGCTTGTTACCTATGCATCCACCCGTAGATTAATGTTTGGTATTACTGATAATAATAGAGTATTATGTATGTGGAAGTGTTCGTCTTTGTCATCTATCCTTCTTGTGCACCTCTCTGTGTCTTCCTTTTCCTTAAGGTTATTGTGTTGGTCACTTGATTTTGTGACATTGCCTTCCCCTTCACCCAAATCAATACTTGTCTCTCACCTATCTAGCAATTTTGCATCCCTTCCCCTCCCATCCCTGGTAACCGGAGAAAAGTTTCCTTCCATATGTAAACTTTTCCTTGACTTTTTACAATAGTGGACTAATACAATATTTGTCTGTCTATAAGTCAGCATTGTTCTTATTAACCCCTATCCCAGATCAAGAGACATCTGGGTGAAGATGTTGGTGGAGGAGTTTTTATAGTTTATTGAAATGCAAGCACCTTATGATTCTTGGGTAATTGCTGCTTCTAACAGACTCTTTTCTTTCTCTGCAGGACCAGCCTCAACCTTAGAACCTCAAACGTGGGCAACTTTGATGTAAGTCCTGAGCCCAGACATTGGGCTGCTGCTTTTGGGAGTGGAAGTCCCAGGGCGTTCCTGTGAGGCTGCATGGGGCTGGGGTGGTTCTTGTTATTGGGTGCCATTGAGTCAGCTCCGACTCATAGTGACCCTGCGTACAATAGAGCGAAACACTGCCCAGTCCTGCGCCAGCCTCATGATCCTTGCTATACCTGAGCCCATCGTTGTTGCCACCGTGTCAATCCTGGGGGCCCTAGAATTCCGCTTGTCTAGGAGCCCATGCATCTGAGATGCTCACATTCTAGCGTTTGTTCATTCTGCGGTCACCCACCCCACCCAGGACTTCAGAAATGCCCCTCTTCCTTTATAAATTGCCAACTCAGCAGACGCTTGAATGAAATTTCCACATGTGCAGAAAAGAGTCAGACCTACTTTGTTGCTTGTTTTCAAGCTTTTTTTTTTTTTTTAAAAAAAAAAAAACACTGCAGCCTCTGGGGTTGGCACCACCACTCTCATTGTGTGGTGGAGAAGCAGGCACCCAGAGGTACCAGACTGCCTTGCCTGAGGCCTCACAGCTGGTTGGAGCAGAGTTAGGACTAGAACTGAAATCTCTGGAATCCAGGTGGAGAAAGAGCTAATGTTCATTGTGAAATCAATGAGCTATATAAAGCTTTTCTTTACACCTCCTCGGGTTTCCAAGGCAGTATCGCTACAGAAGTAGATTGCCCAATCTACCTTCTGAGGAGTGGCTGGTAGGTTTGAACTGCCAGCCTTCTGGTTAGCAGTCAAGTGCATTAGGCACTATGCTATCAGAGCTCCCTTTCTCACTTAATCCTCACATCATCATTTCCAAACTCAGAAGTTAAGAAACTTGCCTAAAGTTTCAGAGCTAGTAGAGGTAGTGCTGGGATTCGAACCCCATGTTCTTACCACTGTGAAGACCCGTCCTGCAGATACTTTACATCTGACCAGTTGCCCTCACGTCAACACCACGTGTGTCAGAGCAGGCCACCCCCCCCCCCAAAAAAACCCAAAAAACCACACTCACTGCCATCGAGTCAGACCTGACTCATAGCAACCCCTCCTTGGGTTTCTGAAGTGGTATCACTACAGAAGGAGATTGCCCAACATTCTTTCCAAGGAGTGGCTGCTGGGTTTGAACTCCAGCCTTCTTTGCACCATGCAGGGACTTCATTTTATAGATTGGAGCTTAGTTTTGATTTGTATAGCTACCCTGAGGATAAGGATGATTCACTCCCATTTTCAGATGTGGGAACCGAGGCTGAGAGAAAGTGAGGGACGCATTGTGCCCAATGTGCCCGTAGTCCTCACTGATTCCTGGCAAGCTGGAGTTCCAATTCTCCAATTACTGTTGAGTGGATCCCCATACCTGGTGACCCCACGTGTGCCAAACTAGAAGAGTGCCCCATGGGATTGCCAGTGGCTGACTCTTCAGAAGTAAATCACCAGGCCTTCCTTCCGGCACCCCTGGGTGGACTCGAACCACCGACCTTTTGATTAGCAGCCAAGTTCTGTACTGTTTGTACCACCCAAGGACTCCAAGCTGGGGTCAACTAACCCATTTTATAGCTCAGGAAGCTGAGGAGCAGAGAGGTGAAGGAACCTGCCAGAGGTCCACAGAGGCCCCCTGGCCAGACTCAAGGGACCCTATGAATCTGAGGGAACCTGCTGCCTGGGTTCAGTTCCCATTCTTCTTCTGCAGGTTGGCCTCATGGAGGTGCTTGTTGGGAAGATTTTCGACCTGGCATTTATGCCTGCAATGAATGGTAAGGACGGGGATCTGTGCTATCCCAAGGGCATGCGACTTGGGGATCGGGTGGCTGCTGGCTTATAGGGCCTGCTAACAGTCTGTATTATGTATGTAAAAGTGTTAATCTTTGTCAATAAGTTATTTTGAGAGCTTTATTCTAAGCATATTTATTTAACCTTTTGAATGCAAATGTTGTCCCCAAAGATCTGTCAACTTCCCTATTTGCTTTCTCCACTTTCTTCTATTTTTCTGTTTTTTTTTTTTTTTGTTTGGCTGATGGCTTTGTTTTCCTGATTACATATGTAAAATTCTGTCTATATATGAAAATTGCAAGAGTGTAAACTTTACAAAGTCCGTAACAGTTACATATAAAAAAACTCACCTTCCGGAGGGAGCTGTTTCCTTCTGGGTACTTCTTCAATTTTTTCATTAAGATATTTTGATTTTTTTTTTTATTGTGGTAAAAATATACACGCATAACAACTTCCACATTCACAGCTCAATGACATTGGTGACATTTCTCATGTTGTGCGCCATTATTGCTATCTTTTTCCAAAATATTCCACCACCATTAGCATAAACTCAATATCTTCCCCCCCAAAGAAAACCTCTCCCTTCCCCCTTCCTCTCACCCCTGGTAACTGTTAATAATCTTTGGTTTCTACACATTTGCTTATTTGGTATAAACCCAACCCAACCCACTGCTATCAAATTGATTCCAACTCATAGACACCCTGCAGGACAGAGTAGAACTGCTCCACAGGGTTTCCAAGGCTGTAAATCTTTATGGAAGCAGACTGCCTTATTTTTCCCACAGAGAAGCTGGTGGATTTGAATCCCTGACCTTTTGGTTAGTAGCCAAATGCCTTAACCCACTGCACTACAAGTGAGATCATATAGTATTTGTCTTTTGTATCTGACTTATTTCACTCAGTACAATGTTTTCAAGGTTCATCCATGTGGTAGCGTGTATCAGAACTTCATTTCTCTTTGTGACTGTATAATATTCCATTGTCTGTATCTACCACATTTTGTTAATCCATTCATCTGTTAATGGACATTTCAATTTTTCCTATCTTTTGGCTATTTTCAAAAGTGATGCAATGAATATTGGTGTGCAAGTTTGATTTATTTTTAATTATACAAGGACTACAGAAATATGTTCTTATAAAACATTCAATCAGTGCAGTTCAAGCTAAAGTTCCCTACCTCCTAACCAGTTCCTCCGCACAGGCCGCCATGTTATCAGTTAGAGGACCTCTGGTCCAATCTCGTAAACAGAACAGACTGAGTGTGTTGGAAGCTTTCTGTGGCATCTCGAGTATGTTATAAGAAGGCTGCTTGTTGAGCTGTGGGGGTCATCTGGGGCTGTGACAGCTGGTCACATAGCTGAGTAACCCCATTATGACTGGAAACCTCAGGCACAAATCCTCCTGCTACTCAACCCTCAGTCATTCTCTCCCCACTTTTCTTGACGGAAGAGAGAGGAAGAAGGGAGCATGTTGTAGCCAGTGCCGTCAGCTGTACCAGCCTGGTCCATTTGAAGAGACCTTCATGCCAAACACACTCTCATTCTCAGAACCACTGGCAGAGGAATGTCTATCCTGGCTCGGTCATGGGGAAAACACTAGTCTCAAAGTCCATTCATGTTCCCCAGGGGGGCAGGATGATGTCAGGAACTGTGTTGGGCTGACCTGGGAGGCAAGAGATGGAGACTTACTGTCATCCTAGCTGGTCACTAAGATACAGTGTGAACTTGGGGGTAAGTCCCTAAATCACACTGACATGAAATTTACCCTTCTGGAAAGTGAGACAGTGGAGTAGAGCCATGATTCCCAAAGTGGGTTCCATATTACATTAGACCCCCAATATAACCTGAGGAAAAGGTTCCTTGGTTGGCCAAGCAAGTTTGGGAAATGCTGAATATGTTTCTCCTGGGGGAAATTCACAATGTTCTTAGTCCTCTAAAAAGTCCTGCTGGAGCCGAGAAGTCTGTTTAACTTCACTTGTGCCAGCGTTCTTAACACACCCTCTCCTCTTTCCCTTCCTTCTTTCTTTCCAGGACATTAACTAGCAAGTCTGCTTGGGCTCTAACAATCAAAAAACAAACAGCATAGCTGTCATTTGTGGAGACCCCATGTGCAGCCTTCCATTTGCTCAGTCAGCAATCATTTGTCCTCTTCTGTGTGCCAGGCCCAGGGTTGGGTGACGCTGGGGACACAGTCCTCATCCACAAGGAACTCACAGTCTGGTAGGGGAGGCAGATGTGGAAACAGAGAATTAGTGTTTTGCGATTTCTCTGGTGGAGGAGTTCAGGGGGGTGACAGTAACCCATAGAAAGCTTCACCCTGGAGGTGACTTCCGAACAGAGTCTCAGGGAAGGCTCAGAACTCACCAAGGAGATGAGGATGAAGGGACTGCAAGGACAAAAGCCTAGAGGCATTAAAGAAATTGCCAGTCGTCTGGCAAATACTGGTATCTTCCTTTGTGCTGACATCCCTAGACCATGCTGATTGTGCCTGCTTTGTTCACAGCTGTGTTGGGGTCTGGAGTCCCTCTTCCCAAAATCCTCAACATTGACTTCAACAATGCAGACATCGATGTCTTGGAGGTAAGGGGAGCCACAGCTTAGTTTTTTGAGTTTGTCTTCATTTTTCTCCTCCATGCCCTTTGTCTATCAGCCTCAGTGACTGCAAGCTACCAAGCCACAAATTGGGTCCAGGTGTGGGGGGAAGGAGAGGAAGGAAAGGGTGGGAGATCAGGAGCCTCATGGGACTGAGGGAATGAGAAACAAAGCTGCAAAGATTCCTTAAAGGAAACTTTTCATGTCATGAGCTTACTTACTGGTCATAGCAGAAGTCATTAGCTCCATCTTACAGATGGGACAACTGAGTCAGAGTGGCTAGGGGCTTGCCTGAAGTGCCTGTCTTCTGTTGAGCATCTGCCGTATGCCAGGTGCTGTGCAAGAGGCTGAAGCAGTGAGCAAGACACATACAAGCCTGGCCCTCGCGAAGCTCTTCCAGCTGAGTGGGGAGGTGGGCCTTGGGGCAAAAATTCAGACGTGATTGCCTCATATGATCACGACAGTGGCTTGAAGTTCAAGTGCGAGGACTCTTGTTTCCACTATAAAAACCTCATGTGCCCAGTATCTGAAATCTGGGAAATACAGGGGAAAAAGTACTAAACATGCATGTGTGTGTCATCCTACATACAAACCAGGAATAACCATTTGATGCATTTTGCTCTCTTCCTTTCCAATCTTTCTGGCATTTTATTTTTAAACATGATTTGGATCAGGGAGTCAGGAGAGCACTGGGGTTAAGGAAGAGGGCTTTGGAGTCCGACAGCCATGGTGTAAATTCTGGCCCTACCAGTGGCCAGCTAGGTGATCCTGGGCAAGTGCCTTAACTCTCTGAGCCTCAGTGTTCTGGTTCCTGGTGCCGCTCTGACAAGAAATATACCACAAATGGGATGGCCTTAACAAACAGGAGTTTATTCTTACAATTTGGAGGCTTTAAGTCCAAGGTCCAAGTGCCAGCTCTAGGGGCTGGGTGAAAGCCCCTCAACCTTGGGGTCCAGCTCTGCCTCCTGCTCCCGGCCCACTGGAGCTAGAGGCGTTTCTTCACTCAAACAGCTGCTGGCTGCTGAGGTTGAGAAGCCCCAAGGTTGACAAGTAAAAAGGCAGAGTCCCGATGTTACCAATCCACATAGCAGGTC